TGCTGTAATTGTAATCATATCAACCCCGCCGACTTTTTTTTCTTTCTATAGTTTTCTTCCGTTGTCCCTTGGCGATTGGGTTCACGAGGCGTCATTACGCGAGTCCAGGAAGTTCAAAAAAAAAAAAAAAAAAGGATAAGTCCAACAGTAATAAGGAAAATGCGCTATACCCCAAGATCGAACATCTGCTATAACGTCCAGCGTTTCGACTCTCGAGCCGAAATCCCGCCAGATTCGGAAGGGCGCTTGGACGGACGGACCTGAAGACGGTCTTTGCTTGTGGATTTCAACCGCGATTCTACGCCACACTCTATCTACATTCGAGCATGTACGAGAATGCAGTTACAATATCGCCAGGTCTTGACCTGACTGCTTGCCCGTGGAGATGGTGAACGGTAGCTCCCGAGCTCTCCTCCCGGAGATACAAGACTCGATATAGTACTCTATAAAGCGATAAGACCTCATCCAGTCGCGAGCAAATTCAACCAAGTAAAAAGGGACTGTGCGATGACGAGGGGCCAAAACCTTGCTATACTTGGCAGTTTCGTATCGACAGGGAGCAGATATTAAGTGCTAACATGCATATGCGCCAATTCAGTTTCGGACAAATACAAGGACATTTCAAGTCAGAGTTATGCTCGTTCTACATAATTTACATTATTTTGGGAGTAAAATTTGAGTAAAATGCACTCGTCCATTCGCATGATGCATCGAATTATCAGTATTGGTATATACAACAGAACATCTATCATGCAAAAACAAACCATCCTAAAATTGACGAAAAAAAAAAAAAAAAAGAAAAGAAAAACCCGCTAAGAAAACTAAACACCGTTACCCAATTGACTAATCTATAGCGTTCCGACAGCCATGCTGAGGACCATCATCGCGGCCAGCCCGATGGCCGACTTGGACATCATGTTGGTCGAGACAGGAATGGCAGCCGAGGTGTCGTCCTTGGACTCTTGGCTGCTGTTGTAGGCGGCGACCTTGGTCACGCCGGCGTCCTTGATGCACGAGAGGACCTCAGTCTGGTTGGTTGGGGTGTCGCAGTACTTGAAGCAGTTCTTGTTGTAGATGACGAGGTCGCTGTTGACACCGCAGCAGGTCTGGTACTTGGTGGTTTTTGCGTGGTCGTTGGTGAAGGCAACGACTTGGGAGACGTTGTGGATGCTCATAGGAGGGACGCGGACGGTGGAAGAGCACGTGTTGGTCTTGTGCCTGGTCATGGTGATGGTTGATTTGAAGGAGGATAGAAGATAGAGAAGGAGAAGTGGAATTGAAGACTGTGTGTCTTTTGGAGGATTTCAGAGGCTTTGAGAGAATTGGAAGATGGATTGCGATTGATCTGAAAGAAAAAAAAACACAGGACGAGGGCGTCTTTTAAGCGCACTCGGGCAGCGATGCGGCTCCCATACGGCGTACTTGGAGGGACCAGCAAACGCGCCGGGAGCTCCACCAGGGACTGCGCCGCGGGGGCCAAATTAGGGCCTGCGACTATTGATTGGGCGGGAGGGATCGCATACCCTGGGGATCGGCGTGTCAGGGAGCCTCGTGTTTCCTATTTGGGTTTAAGCTGGCCCCAAGGCGGATTCGGTGTTCGACCTGAGTTTTTTTTTTTTCTTTCACCGTCTGGCGGCACCGCCATTTGAGAGAGCAAAGAGGATTCGACACAAGATTAGGATCAGGGGCTGCCGCTGATCAACGTGATTCAACAAAAGCAAGAATGACAAAAACCGAAACACGACATGACTTGGCCGCTTAAGCTCAATCTAACTACCACCACCAACTAAGCCTAATAGGGCGTCGGAAGCGAGATCATCGCAGCCTTGTCGCCGAGGCAGACTTGAACATCCTGGTTCTCCCGAGCATCTCCCGATTGTGATCAACGCCCAACGCATTCAGTCACAAACTAGTCTACAGCACACGGAGATCTCAATTCAACAATTGTATAGTTAGTACTTTGCACTCTGTAATGCCTTGGATATGTACAGCCACAGCCACAAGGGAAATATGCGCCCCCGAACATTAAATGTCCATAGCCTCACCGTCCAGCCACTGTTTGCACTGCCAATACAGCAAATCATGTTTCTGCCCATTCGCATTGTCATTCTCCCTCCGATGACCGGGCATGTCGCGCAGAACCTCAACACCCATCGTTTTCTCCTGGCAGTACGCCAAGTACCGATAACCATTGGGATATTCTTCCAATTTTTTCTCATCTAATTTCGGGACCTTGCCCGGATTTATCGGCAGAAGTTTATCCTTTTCGTACCAATGGCGCACGAATCGGGCGCGCCATTCCCCGTCCGCGACGTTCTTTTCCCAAAAGAAGCAGAACCGACAGTCCGCTTCCGCGTCGACCTCGCATCCATCAATCACAAATCGCTGTGTAATGGTCGCTTTCATTTTGGTCACCGCCCGGACGGCATCTGGGGTGATATCGGTCGTCGAACCGTGGACCCGGTGCATTATGAAGGCGCCGTTGTCCATACCTCGTTGTGAAGCGGCGATAAAGTCCAGGTAGAATGTCCGGCCCGTCCAGGTGGTGTAGATGTATGCATCGGGATGGAAGATGGATTTCAGGTTTTCCCATTCGCAGGCGTCACTGTTCTATTAGCAATTGAAAACATCTGGTGCATACTGACATACCGATAAGCAGGCCAACCTTCTGCCAATTCGCGTAGTTTATATCGCTCCAACGCCAAGTCGTTCGGTCCATTGTTACGAATCGCATTCTCCGGTCTAGAACCAGCGGGAAGACTATGCAAATCGACCATGGTGACTATACTGGTTATGCAGGTGTCCATATAGACTGCATACTCCGTACTTTCTTATATGGGTGTACCATCCTTGAATCGGAATTGCTTCCGCGGAAGGATCCGCGGAAGACCGATGATTAGAAATATAGAAAGCACTGTAAACCATCGGAAATAACTAGCATTAACCAACTAACTATGCTTTCGACATATCACATGGTCTATGATTTTGCGCGCTTCGCAATTTCCCCATGAATTACCCTCCGGGCCTCAATTGCCGCACTCGAAGCCTCGACCAAAGAATCTGTTGAACGATACCTTGCCATAGCAAAGCCTCCGTCCCCGGAATGACGGTCCATCCAGCATCTTCTGCAAAATCTAGAAACGACGTTCGGATTTTTGGATGGTAACACATCTCTAGAACCACTCCCTTCTTTCCGTTCCGGCTCAGCAATTCCCGCGTACAGAGACTAGCTGTGATTTCACCCTGAGTTTGTGGTGCGCAATCGGGAACAGTGCCTACGACGAAGAACGGAGCGGGCAATTCCTGAGCTGAAGATAGATCTTCAACAAAACGAAGACTGGCATGGAAGGAAATCAATTTGGCAAACGACGCGATGATGTCGTCGACTTCGGATCGAACGCGATTGACAATGTAGATTTCATTCACACCAAGCCAACGATGAAGGGCATAAATAGCGCTCCGACATGCACCACCGCCTCCGATCACGAGCGCAGGCTTTGTCTTCCCGTATTCCAGATCTTTCTTTGTCGCGATATTCTGCAGAAACGCTTCTCGAACCCCGATGCTGTCCGTGTTGGTCCCGATGTACCTCCGGCCGGAATCGTCCCGCCGGATGAAGACGGTGTTGATGGCCCCGATGGCGATTCTCTAGTCAGTAATTTCGTCGACGAACGGGATGAAAGTCACTTTATGGGGCATGGTCACTGCCGCGCCGATGCAGGTGTCTTGAGACAACTTTTTGTGCGGAAAAAGAAGTGTTGTGAAGGACAGGAGCTAGCGAATGCGTAATAGGATATCCTAGGAGGTAAATGTTGGAGGTGTGATCCGGTGTTTTTGCCGATGACCCGTAGCGAAAGGAGTCTTTCAAGATAAGAGATAAATCGGGGCGTGAATTGTCCATCTTGTCGCGAACTGGATAGGAGCGTACTGACTAAACGGGTGTGTTATAGTCAGAATTCATTTATATATCGCGATTTGAATCCAGGCCAGCACGGCTAAATATACAACCGAGGCATCGAGTCCGATACCAAACGCATTTAAGCGGTGACCTATAAAATAACTTGGAAAGAAAGCTTTGCCACTCAAACACAGCACACTATTCAAAAAATGGACGATCAACGAGAATTCGCATACCTCGTCGGAATCGGAGTCACACACTCCATCGCACCTCCCATGCACGAGTTTATCGCCCAGTCATTGGGTTACAACTGGCGCTTCCTCGCCCAAGAGTGTCCGACTGTCGAAGATGCCATGGAATTGTTCCAGAAGCCCAACTTCGCCGGCGGCGTGGTCACCATGCCCTACAAGACTACGATCATGGCTCATCTCGATGGCCTGGACGAGTACTGCGTTAAGATCGGCGCGTGCAACAACGTCTATCGAGCGACGGACGGTTCTCTTCGCGGGACGAACACTGATTGGCGGGGAATAAAATCCTGTCTGACTTTCGCTTCCGAGGAGAGCAAGGGCAGACCGGCCCTGATTATTGGCGCGGGAGGGGCGTGCAGAGCAGCTGTCTATGCTTTGTATGAAGAGCTTGGATGCACCCCGATCTACGTGGTGAATCGTGACGAGGGCGAAGTGAAGGCTCTTTTGGAAGATACAAAGCCATACGGGAGTGGTCTTCAGATCATCCATCTTCGATCAGTGGAAGAGGCTACGAGTTTGACTGAGATGCCATACTACATCGTTGGCACCGTGCCAGACTTCGAACCGCAGACTAGCGCGGAAATCGAAGCGCGCGATATCCTCGTTACGATTCTGTCATCCTCGCGCGAGAAAGGTGTGCTTTTGGACATGTGCTTCAAGCCGCGGAGGACTCGGACTTTGAAGCTGGGAGAGCAATACGGATGGACGACGGTCGAAGGCACGGGGATCATTGCGCATCAGATCGACGAGCAGTATCGGCTATGGTGTGGTGAAGAGGATAGTAAGCGGATTCTCAGACAAGAAGCCTGGGGAGTGTTGCAAGCGGCTGCGGAGGAGAGTCCGGCAATCAATTTTTGATTATGTAGGAGTATGAGATCCTGGTAGATCAATCATGGACGATCCTCGGACAAGTATTTGCCCGCGGAATATCGGATAGAATATATATAGTAACTAGCATCCTCTCCTGCCCTGGAAGATAGCTTCTTCATTTTCAAACGAAACAAGATTCAGACCCTTTCCAAGCAAACGATGTCGTGTCTTCCCGCAATAGCTTCCATGTCTCTGGGCCGCGCCTGGGTCCATGCGCTCCCTGAGAAGCTCGCGAGAGCATCAGAAGCCGGGTTCAAAGGCGTCGAAATCTTCTACGAGGACCTAGAATACGCCACGAAGAGCCACGGAGAAGCAAGCCCAGAGAATCTCCTGGCCGCAGCTGGCGAAGTGAAAAAGCTCTGCGACGCATACGACCTCACGATCATCGGCTTGCAACCTTTTCTGTTCTACGAAGGCCTTACGGATCGAGGCGAACATGCAAGGAAAATAGAAAAGCTCAAATTGTGGTTCCAAATCGTAAAAATACTAGGGACTGATATCATTCAAATTCCGACGAATTTTCTGACTGAAAATGTCACCGGCGACATGGATCTCATTGTGCAAGATATGGTCGAGGTCGCGGACCTTGGCCTCCAGGAGAACCCGCCTGCTCGATTCATATACGAAAATCTTGCCTGGGGCACATACATTGATACTTGGGACCGGATGTGGGAGGTTGTCAGGCGAGTGGACAGACCGAACTTTGGATGCTGCCTGGATGCGTTCAACATCGCCGGGAGGGTCTGGGCCGATCCTGCGAGTATCATGGGAATGACGCCAAACGCCGCAATTGATCTGAAGGAGTCAATCGAGCGTCTGGTTCGGACAATCGATGTGCGCAAGGTCTTCTATATCCAGGTGGCGGATGCTGAACGGATGCAGTCGCCACTGACCGAAGGCCATCCGTTCCACGTGGAGGGACAACCAGCACGCATGTCCTGGAGCCGAAATGCGCGACTTTTCCTATATGAGCAAGAAAGGGGCGGATATCTCCCTGTCGTCGATGTTGCTCGCGCAATCTTGAAGGACCTCGGGTACAATGGATGGGTATCGATGGAGTTGTTTTCGCGGACCCTGTCGGACCCCGACCAAACGGTGCCTTTTACCCACGCACAGCGGGGGATTACTGCTTGGAATACGCTTCGGGAGGAGTTGAACATGTAAGGCTTGAGCTTTCATGGCAAAGGATTCGGAGGATTGGTTTTTATGGGTTGGAAAGTCAGCGAAGTGAAGTCAAAGTCGCTGGCCAGAAACCCCAAGTTCTGCGCGAATGCAGTTGCGTCCTCGTTGTGCCTGATAGAATGAGCCTACGTTAAAATATATTGTACCGGAGTGCACTTACCTTCTAGTTTGGACAAATGCTAGCATGTCGTCGAATACATCGTTAAATTCACTAATTTCACTGGGAGGATAATCCATCTGCGGAAGTGACGGTATAGCCCCGGCATCATGTATGGATTGGGACTGTGGGACTTGCAGTCCGGCATGTGTAGGGTGCGACAGGCTCGTGCTATGGGTGGAAGATTCGTTTTGTATCCTCATTTCGGGGCCGGCTATCAGTTGCGAAGGAAGCACCGTTCCCTGCTCGAACTGACCTAAGGGTTCCATGCCAGGTTGCGTATGCTTTCGACGTCCCTGGTGATTATCCAGCTTTTGCAGTATCTCTCCGAGTCGAACCTGGACTGACAGGGCATTGCCGTCCGTCATTGGATGGATCTTATGTAGACAATGCTCGGCCTGCATTGCAAAAGCGCGCAGCAAAGGGGAAGATCCTGAGACCCCGGTCATTTCGAGATATTGCACTAACATTGAAAGCGTCGAATCGACAGCTCCTTCCACCAATGGTACCAATCCGGGTTCAATTGCGTGAGCCCGATGAAACGAAGTCAACAAAACAAAGTCCCACGTAAGATGGAGTGTTAACACTGGCGGAGTGAGTGTGCTATTATTGATTTGATGTTGCTTCTTCAGATTCGAGCGCCAGTTCTGCAGATCGCGAATTACATCGTCTGGAGAAGAGACTCCCGAACCATCCAATAAGTTGCTCAGTTTTTGCATCAGCTGTGTGATCTGATTGAATGTACTGAGGACTCGCAACGGCCGTCGAGCCGTGACTGTTGTACTCTGGGATGGAGAGGCCCATGATTCCCATTCCTCGAGGCCATTCTCATCTAGCTCAGCGAGTAAACCGTATTTACAAGCAGGAAACATGGGCGTTTGATCGAGAAGGACAGAAATGATAGTATCTAGACATAAGCATCCTCGAGCAACGTGCTGAGTCCGTCCCGTCTGCAATCCCTGACCATCCACAATTATGCGCATTCGATGTGCTTGACTTGTCAAGACCCAAGCAGACTCGAACGCACCTCGACCAATTTCATAAAGAGCCAAGATAAGAACTGCTTGGACATGCCCGAGGTCTATGGTCGAGTCGGACATTAGACGGGAACAAATATGAGCGTGGATTCGGTCCGGACCAGGCGCACATGCGTTGGAGGAGTTGTCCCCCAAAGCCCTTGAAGTAAAACCAATAATTGACCATAAGCAAAGCTGATGGCCTTCCCTACGGGCACCAGGCGTATCATCTCCATCGTCATACAACGTCTGCAGGATGTCACGCCGTTCAACCACAGGGAACCAACAATGGGTCGTCTGAAAATAAAAGTCGACCAGAGCGGACGTATTGCCTGGAAAGCTAAACGATAGAGGAGCAACACTGGTTTGTAACTCCCCAGAATCGCCAGAACGAATGACTGGCTCCTGTTGGACATGCACCGGTTCTCCCTCGAGTGGCGGGAGCTTGTTCCCCTGGGATACAACTTGACCAGAGTCATTATCGTCGGACGTCAACAACTGCTCTAAGTCCTTTGCCAGCTCCGATCCGCGCCATCTGTCCGTAGTGCGGTCCAGGAACTCGCCGTCAACAAAACTGGCGTCCGCGTAGTCGCTGCGGAACAGAGTCCTGATCGTCATCTCACTCCCCGGAACATGATCCATAAACAACCCCAAGAGACTTTCTAGCCCTCTGACGTAGCCGGACTGCAGTCCGCGCTTCTTGACATTTCCGTATGTACATGGCTTCTTGAACAGCCGGCAAACCGAGCAGACCGGCTGCGCGCCATCGCACTTGGATTTCCGCTTCCGGCAATAGTCACAGGCTTGGCTGACTCGTTGTCTTTTCGATTGCCTCTCCGATTCCGACATGATCTCGCATCTGACTGATAAGATCAATACTACCGGAATTGGTGCAGTTGAGGTCCCCTCGATTTGGAGAAGTGCACGTGATCGCTTCAGATCTTAGCCGACGTCGGAACCCGTTCCGACACCATGACGACAAACCATTCCGTACAAGGCAGAATGGCCATTTGCAGGAGACCACTCGCTAGAACATGGTTCAAGTATCCTCGGCCGGAAAAGGCTCGGATAACAAGGAAAAATGCGGGTTACCGGCATCTCGAAAGCGAACATTTAGCGCCATGGCCAAGACGAATGAAAATGACGCTCAATTAGCAGAGAACTTGCCCCCCGGGAGCGACGAAGCTCAAGCGCGAAGACTGGGATCGGTAATGGACCCACGGCGAGGATATCAAGGGAATGAAAGCCTCATTCTTGTCGGATTTGTTGGCGCGGGGAAAAGAACCCTTGGGTTGATTGCGTCCGCAGCACTACAACGGGAGTTGATAAACTACGACGTACTGTTCCAACAGCAAACAGGCATTCAACCGGGAGATTATATCGACACATATGGCCCAGAGCGATATCAGGTTTTGGAGCATGAGATTACCACCGATGTTATTGAAAGAAAACGCACTGGTGCTGTTCTTGTCGGGTTCTTCAAGGTGCTTCGCGGCAGAGGATCGATGACACTGCGCGAACTGTGCAAGACAAATCCTGTCGTTCTGATCAGGCGCGATATAGACAAGCACCCCGACGTCTTGCGCGATGAAGAGAAGTTCACCCGTGCACATCGTGTGAGCAACATATTGTATGGACGATGCTCCAACTTTGACTTTTTCAACATTACCCAGCCCGACGGAGAGGGAATCAGGGCACCGCTAAAGTTGAAACAGACAGAACGTGACTTCAAACGGTTCTTGAATGCCATCTTCGGGCAGTCGTCGCGTCTCTTGCACTCTGCCGATCCGCTTTCTCTCTCATACACCCATGCATTACAGGTCCCTTTGAGCTGGCTGGAGGATATCAAGTCGGACCTCTCGGTACTCGAGTGCGGCGCGGATGCTGTAAATTTGATACTTGATGGGGACGTTGAAAACCCCAACACTGTTGCGCATCGCGTATCCAAGCAGATTTCTTTTCTGCGGCAACACACGAGACTGCCCGTCATTTTCGATATCGGGACCTCTGAAAATCCCAACACTACGTACTATGAAGATCTGCTGGAGATTGGATTCCGACAAGCTCCGGACATGGTGATCGTCTCTCTGGACTGCACGGCGCGTGCCGATGCCCTAACTGCTGCGAAGGGTCACGCTAAAATGATAGGCATTTGGCATACACCAACGGCATGGTCTCGTGTTTGGGAATCGACGACATGGCGAGTAATGTACAAAAAGGCGAGAATCCTGAGCTGCGACGCTATTCGGATCACATCTACATCAGATTCCGTGCTCAACAACTTGGAGTGTCTCCGAATTATACATGCAGCCAACAAGTCACTTGAGATTCCAATCATCGGATATAATACCGACGTGCAGGGCCGGACTTCTGTTTGTTTCAATCCGATATTGTCTCCTATAGTTCTCCCGTCTATGCTACATAATGGCGTCACCTTACAACAGGCTCACCAGGCGCTGTATTCGAGTTATTTCCTCCCGAAAAAGCATTTTACGATTGTTGGGAAGACAGTCACTTATAGCTTGTCGCCGCACATGCACAACGCAGCCTACAGCGCATGTGGAATGCCCCATGTGTATGATTCCATGCAAGTCGACTCTTTCTCGAGCGTTCAACGACTCTTCGAAGAAGGAGACAGAGATGGGCTTGTCGTGTCACTTCCGTATAAAACAGATATACTACAAATGCTGGATGAAGTGGCCCCCGATGCGCGTTGCATTGGTGCCGTGAACACGGTCGTCGTTGAGAAGGACCTCGTTAGTGGTCAGCCTTCGAAGGGACCTATCCTGAAGGGCTATAATACCGATTACATTGGGATAATGAACTGCATCCAGCTAAACCTATCTCCAGCAAACTCCGTCAAACAAGGAACTAGCGCGCTCATCGTCGGGGCTGGTGGAATGGCGCGCGCGGCGATTTATGCCTGCGTTCAAGTCGGCATACAAAACATTTGCATCTTCAATCGGACAAGAGAGAATGCTCATAAACTGGTCGAATATTACAACCATTTATCGACGTCTGGTTGGAAGGAATCTCTGTCATTGTCTGTCCTGGAGACATTGGACTCCCCTTGGCCGACGCAGCTGCGTCAACCGACAGTGATTGTATCCTGTATTGCTCCAGATACGCCTGCTACTTTCTCTATACCAGAACAATGGCTTTGTAGCAAAACTGGTGGTGTATCCATTGAGGTTCGCGTGTCCTTGACTTTGCTCGACTCTGTTCTAACACTTCATACAGCTAGCATACACCCCCCTCGTTACGCCGTTTACAAAGCAGATGCAGTCAAAGGTCTCGCGAGGATGGATCCTAGTCGATGGTTCTGAAGTACTTGTTGAACAGGGCGTTGCACAATTTGAGATACTCACAGGAAGACCTGCGCCAGTTTATATCATGCGAGATGCTGTCCAGAGGAGGTATGCTACAGTTCACTCCGGGTATACAGATGAGAATCCTTAGTCCGTTCTGGAATTATGAAGCTACGTATATAACAACGATATCGTAATTGTAATTTCCCGTCGTCTACATTGTCTTTCATTTTGATTCTGTAGAAAATTACCCTGCGGGCCAGCTTCCGGGTGAGTTGTTTTCCTCGAATATAACTTTACCCGCGGAAAAACAGTCCGTACAATGGCGCTTATATGTACCATGCTCGAGGTATACATTGCATGCCTGGTTATCTCTTACGACCGTCTAATATATGACGAATACAATCAAGGAATCAAGACGTAAGTTGTCCATCGATATCTCCAAACGATTGCCTAATGATCTGTACAGTAGTATGCCTTCGATACTCCTCCTCAACGGCCCGAACCTGAGCCTCCTCGGTACTCGAGAACCACACCTTTACGGCACAACAACTCTGAAAGACGTTGAGCAATCAGCACTCGAACTGGGAACCAAACTCGGGGCGCAGATTGAAGCATTCCAATCAAACCACGAGGGCCATCTGATCGACCGCATCCATGCCGCGCGAGGTATCACCGACGCAATCGTGATTAATCCGGGTGCGTTCACACATACCAGCGTTGCCATCCGGGATGCATTGTTGTGTGTGAATATTCCATTTATTGAGGTGCATATTACGAATGTTCATGCTCGTGAGGCTTTTCGGAAACACAGCTATTTGTCGGATAAGGCTGCGGCGTGTATCATTGGACTAGGGGTGTTTGGATATGAAGTTGCTATTGAACATGCTGCGAGAAATTTGATAAAAAAGTAGCTATAGCCCTGAGTACACTGATATTACAAGTCTTTTGCCAAAGTAATACAAGTTTCCTTGCATGTATAGCACTAGACATAGCATTGACAGCTTTCTAGAAGTAGACGAATATTAGACATTCAACGATGAAATTTCACAACTCGAATGTCCGTAAAGATGGCATTCGACTCTAAGAACTAGAGATTGTACGTCTCGAACCAGTTCGCAAACCCATGCGGGTTCGCGTCCTAGGATATGAATACAGCCGACAGACTGCATCGGAACTGAATCCGTAGTCAGCCCCGATCAATAACATCCGTATCGACATCAACGTCTACTTATAAGTGTGATAATGGTATCTTTCAATAGCTCAATTCTTACATTCATCCAACTGATCGGACATTTCAGTATATGATCAACATGCACTTCCACATCTTCGGACAGAACATATCGCAAAGTCTCTCCCCAGCCATACACAATGCGGCATTCACGGCCCTCGGACTCCCGCATAACTACGACATTCGCGACTGCACAAGCCTCAACGATGTGGAGCACCTAATCAACGACAACGACTTTGGAGGCGCTAGTGTTACCATGCCGCACAAACTCAGCGTCGACCACTATTGCAACAAAATATCAGATGCGGCTATGAAAATCGGCGCCATAAACACCCTCGTTGCGCGCCGAAATGACTCCGGAGCTCGAACGATTCACGGAGATAACACCGACTGGACTGGCTTGTACTCTATTGCTGTTGGATATCCGTCGCTCGAATCCTCGCGGTCAACCGTCGGGCTCGTTATTGGTGCCGGTGGAGCAGGTAGAGCAGCTGTCTACGCTTTGGCCCAGGCAGGGATTAAGCAAATTTACGTTTGGAACCGAACGGTCGACAAGGCCCGTAAAATTGCTATCGACTTTCGGGATATATGCAGTGTCACGGTTGCGGCGCACCAATCGGATATCATAGAGGGGCCCGATATTATCATCGGCACTATTCCCGGTGAGGTGCTGCCGCGATCAGCGTTCGTTGACCTTTTTCGAAAGCCAAAGGGACTGTGCATTGAGATGTCTTACAAGCCGCCGGTTACAAATTTGCTTTCAGTTTCCAGGGCGCACGGCGAATGGACTACGGCCGATGGTCTCGAGGTACTCCTGCAACAGGCCTTCGGACAGTCTGAGCTCTGGACGGGCAGGGATGCGCCGCGGGATTCGATGAGAGCCGCTGTCAAACTTGCGATTGGAAATCAGAGTGTAGCGAACACCGGAAATGCGCGTATTTAGCTACGGAGTTGAAGTCGAAGACCGGCTTCCAGCCATAACGTTATGTGACAGAAGAAAAGAGTAACAATGTCATTCTTGTACGTACAAATTATGCGAAGCAAAATAGTCAATTAAGAATAGCGCGAGGATCAAGACATTAATTTATATCTATCAGTGGCACCCCACCGCGAGCCAATTCTTTCCGTCTCCAAATTAAACTTCAAACGGCCTGACTGTACATGGCCACTGTCTGTTAGTATAGGAGATATCTATTCGGTGATATGCTTCTCCTGGCTGTCGCCACTGCTAATGGCGATCTCTGCCTTTTCAGCTCCATATGTGACTCTCGCATCCGGCAAACTCAAGCCCAGGTCACCGGACATCTGAGCAATCTGGTCGGCACTGAGCTTGGGCAACTCATTGGCGACCTGGTAGGCCCACTTGCCCTCGATATGGGCCTTGGCGAAAATAATGTCAACCTCTTCCAGATCACGGCCCGCAGTTTCAGCGTAGAAGAACCAGGCGAAGGGCACGGCGCAAAAGTTGACGAGTGCGAAGAAGAGGTAGATGCCCCAGCCACTGGCGTCGGAGAAAACGGGGGTGAACATGACGACGGCAAAGTTGCAGATCCAGTTGGTGCAAGTCGAGGCCGCAGCCGCCATGGTACGGGTGCGGAGAGGGTTGATCTCCGGCGGGTAGATCCAGGGCAGCGGCAGAGTCGTGAAGGCGAAGAAGCAGATGAAAAGGAAGATACCAACAATGGCACCCTTGGAGTTCTCCACAGTGGGGTCAACCAGGCAACCCATGGTGATGATGAAACTGAGACCCTGGCCAAGGAAACCGATCAAGAATAGGTTGCGGCGGCCAACCCTCTCAATCATGAAAAAGGAGGGAATAGTAGCGAGGGCATAGACTGTGGCAAAGACACCACCCAGAACCAATGAGAGACGGTGTGACATATTCAAATTCTGTTCAAAGAGCAGCGTGGAATAGTAGATGGCGGCGTTGCAGCCGGTGAATTGCTGGAAAAACTGACCGGAGCAACCGATCATCATGCGCTGGAATTCCTGGGTCTTGCCAAAGGTGAAGAGCGTCTTCCAGCTGGCCTTGGTGTCCTGGGTCGATCTGAGGTCGGCCTTCATGAGGTTGAAATCGTTGAGCACACTCTCCGAATCGGGTTCAGCATCGTTGAGTTGGGCCAGGACATGGCGTGCTTCCTCATCACGCCCCCTCATGACAAACCAGCGAGGGGACTCGGGCAGCATCAAAGCGCCGACGGTGACAAGAATGGCGAAGATGATCTGGAACGCGACAGGGAAGCGCCACTGGACCGAAGTATTAACGTACGAGAGACCAAAGTCGACCCAATAGGCGACGAAAGTGCCGACGGCGATAATGGCACCCTCAAAACAGACAAGGAACCCCCGATTGTGAGCGCGAGAACATTCTGACTGCCAGACCGGAATTGTCGCCGTATCCATGCCGTTTCCAAGACCTGAAATCACACGACCGACAACGAACTGACCCAAACCCCATTGAGGACCGAAAGCAGCGGTGGAGATGACGGCACCGACGACCATGATGATTCCTCCGGCGACCAGCAACGGGGTTCGACCGATCTTTTCACCGTACATGAGGGTGAAAATGGCGCCGAAGAAACAACCGAGTTCGTAACAGGCAGTCACCGCACCACGGAGGACCGAGACATGCTGAGAGTAAGAGGCGGAGTAAGATGGGTCATCCTCTGGGGGAATATAGAGAGGGGAGAACTCCTTGGTGAATTGGTCGCCGGAAATGATACCGGACATCAAACCCTGATCATAACCGAAGAGTGAGAATCCCAGAACGGAGGTGATGGTAATGGCAATATGGAGCTTCCTGCCCCGCAAGCCACAGGTTGTTGTCCACATCTTGTTGCTGGTATGGGAGGAAGACAAGACAAGCACCAGGACAATGGTAACAGGAGAAAACTCACAACCATGCTGGCGGGGGGCATGAGCAATTTTGTATCCATCGGGATTTAGTGCCAGTCTTACGGTTTGATTAATCAAAGAGGGACAGACAAGGTTCTAGGGGACAATGGGTGCCGGTATTGGGCATGTCTCGCGAGCCGTCAAGAGAGCCAAGGGCCCAATGGGACCCCAGGAAAAGGCTTAGCGGCAGGTTGGCATCCCCGCCGTCGACGTAAAAAATGCTTTATTTGAAAACATAGCGTGGGGGCCAAGGCTGGGAGTCAGGGTCATGCGGAGTGAATAAGAGTAAGATTGCCGGATCGGGAGGCTGCGGAGGAAGGGAAATGATGGGTGTTCCGGGGTCTCCAGGTGGAAAAACACAATGGATCCTTGTATACTCTGTACATCTGCCTGGGTGGACCAAATCTAGGAAGTTAGCCGAATACGACCCCTTTTGTTTGGCACTCTCTATGGAGGGTCGGATTCAACCCGCGGTGGTGTCTGTTCGCTTGAGAGAAACCAATCACTGGTTCCAACAAAAAGCAAAGACCGGATCTGGTATGGTAATAATACATGAGATTGACAGTTACATTTCGTTCCACATCTTTTGTAGGGCCATATACTCTATGAAGTATTCTGTTTATATAGGATCCATCACGATCCCTTGGCGATGCTTGGTTTTGACAAGCATTCTTAGCATTCTTAGCATTCTTAGCATTCTAGGCATCCCAAGAAACCCAAGCATCCCAAGCATCCCACAATAAGCATCCACGCCCCAGCATCGTCTTGGCTAATGGACCGTACCGTACCATACATACCGCAGCACAGACAAAGAGTCGGAAAGTATCATGCGGCTTGTCCAAAAACGGCAATTGTGTGACGCCGAGCCACGACGGCGGTAATATCATTACGTACTGCATGACAGCTGCATCCACCGTGTAATATTCCCAGTGCGGGGATGCGGGGTCGGAGTACATACTCCGAACTACTCCGGAGTAGTCTCTCCGAAAGTATTCCGATGCTTGGACATCCCCGGAATCGCAGTTGGACTTCCGGAGTGAATCATACCACATGGAAAATACCAAGAATGCAGGAACTCGGTTAAAATGTCCGTCCACCTACGGAGTAGCGCGATAATGACATCCATGCTAAGCCGCGGAGTCACAATGTACGGTCTCACTCCACCGGAATCCTGCATAGACTCTTTTTCGAGATCTGAACTGGACCGTAAGAGTAAACGCTCGGAGCTTTTGACCGGGGCCGTACTCTGGTTGGATTCTACTGCATAGCGGGGAGTCCGAAATACGGGGATACATGTTGAGACGACTTTCTTATCCAATAAACTGTGAAATCGCAGGTTGGTTCAACAAGACTGGCAGAGTGCATGAGAGCGACGCGCAGGCTTACGCGATGGATGTTCTCATTTAATTTAGTTCGTACCACGTCGTTTATGTGGATGAACCTGTGTGTGATGGACGGGCTTAGAATAGAACCATTGAACGATAATCCTTCGACATTGATATGATTGTTGTACTCCAGGCCTGAGTATTTGGGTGAGGATGGGGTCGTGCAGACGCATATTCCAGACCAGATTGTGTCGGGGGGTATGACTGACCCTAAAGATATGCTATAGAGTGAATATGGTAGTTTTGCATTATGAAACTAGCTCTAAAGCTCTAGCAATTGAAGACATGCTACCAAGAGAACGCTGGTCTCCACATTATGAAGACCGCTCACAGTTTGGTGCCTTAGGCCACAAAACGCGGGCCGACATTCGGATGAAAGTGAAACGGGGAAGCTTCGGGGCAGCGGTGCCGATTCTCCGGATTACCGTACGAGGCCCATATGACAGCCGTGAGCCGTAGAGACAGTATCGCGCAGTAGAGAATGTACGTAGTGTTGAGTCTGCTGTAGAGTGCTTACTAGAACTAACTGAGAGTGTTCCATCGCCGTACGATAAAACTTCTCCGGAGCTCACTAGATCGGTCCGATATCATCCGATATTCATCAGAAAGCCAAAACGGATTAATAATCGGCCCGCTTCCCGAGCCCGACAGATTCCATAGGGACACCATAGCCATACGCTTTAGATGGCTGAGCAACTCATTCTATAATCATTGTTACAGGCTGCGCCTGTCGCATAAGCAGTATGTTTAGTCGGGTGGAGAGGTTACCAGACGGAGAGATTATCGGAGGGGCTATCTACCCGCACTGCGCGCGCATGCAACTATAGTCATAGAGCGGCCTGACTGGGTAATGGGTATTCGTTCCTTTCTTCAACGAAATCTTTTGTACCAAAGCTAGTCAATAGCATTTCCGGGCCTAGCCTCTAACATACCCCCATGGGATAGATTCCTCTTCTTCTTTTCTCCCCAGATTCGATATTCTCGTCGATGGCTACAATAGTTTAGATAGGAATTCAGTTCGTTAGTATCTACTATTCCGAGCCCGCGACAGTCAGATTATCTATTAATAGCGCGATTCTTAGCGTGCAGCACCTCTTGCCACAACTGGCCAATCCATGGCTTCATCGCCACAATCTTTGTCTGAGGAGAACCCCATCACAGCCCAAAATCCGACCCAACATCAGCGTGAAAAACGCCACCATTGCACGATGCCAGTGGATCAGGAAACCAGAAGCCAGTGCATGCGGTTGCATCCTGGGCTGCTCCGCCTGGCTGGCCTTCTTTCACTTCCTCTTCGGGTGCTGCCGGTGACGCTCTGCTGATACCTGTCTGACAGGACCACTCTGACTCTTCCTCTCCCTTTCCTCCCGTTTTCGAACTTTGACTCTGTCTGTAGAGAACCCTACCGAAAAAAAGAAAGCAAGAAGGGAAAAGCAAAATGGTTGTCGTTCTGGAGAAGATGAACATGGCCATCGCTGCCAGCATCGGTCTGGTGGCTGAGACCATCCACCGCCACAAGACACCAGAAACTCCCACTGAGAGTATGTTACTTGACTATCTTCGTCGCAATTGGTATGGCACTGATAGAAAATTAATCTTCATTGAGAAAAGACGACGCTGCGCGCATCTCCCTGGAAGACGAACAGTGGGCGCTGGATGAGATCCAGGATGAGCTGTGTCAGGTTCCCCCTTCGGACAGTGAGGACCAACCGAAGAAGATCCGTAATCCAGCCCGCTTGGCAGATGATTTCCTCCAGCGATGCCCGCCTCCTCCCCCGGGCAGCGCGTCCGCAGGTCGACTCCCGTTGCCCGTCATCATCCCCCAGCGTCGGCCCGGAGTGCGTGTCCGGGGCTTCGTGAGAGCCTATGCACCGGACCTCCAGGTCTGTGGCATCAACCAGGATACCTTCATGGATTTCCTGGTGACATTTACGCGCGCCAGCCGGGCACCGCAGTGGATGATGACCACCAATCTGACGGCCGCTGCAGCCTTTGCCTTGCCGGGACACGCCATCGGGTGCGGAGTGGGATTCGCCATCCAGGTGGTCAATGCCATCGCCATGGAGATGAGGGGCCGTGTGCAGTGCGTGATTAAGATGAGCATCCAGAGCAGAGAGAAGAATGGCAAGCTGACCATGCAACAGGGCCAACGCCTTCCTGCAGAAGCTGAACCAGGGCTTCTTCCAGCCGCGCGGGCTTTACTGCCTGGTGCTCTCCTTCGACAATACCCACGAGAAGGCCATGACCGACGAGTCACTGGCCACGGCAATTGCCACGACCTCAGATGTGAAGATAGGCGTGCGCAAGTACACAGACAAGCTGCGCACCCACAGCGGCACCACCGGGCCCTCTGAGTTCCCAGAATCCGCTCCGCTGGTATTCCCCGTCCTGGACTGGCTGGAGACCAACGCCAACGCCGAGCAGGCAGAGAAGCTGGGAAGGTATAAGAAGTTCCGCAAGTTTGTGGCGGATTACTACGACCGACGGGCGCAGGCGGAATATGTGAGTCCCCCTCCACTCCCCAGAGATGTGTAGAGGGAAACGAGGGAGGAATGGACTACTGATGATCTATCAATCTGGGTCCAGGCGGCGAGGAACCCGACGAGCCCCCTGGCAGCGCCCCCAAAGCGCGCGTTCACGTCCAAGTTCGCTGACCCCAATGACAACACCAACAAGTCCCCGATATCGCTGGCTACGGGGGGTCTGGTTCCCTACAACACCACCTGGCGGGGGGAGACCCGGAATGGCGAGGGACGTGGAGCGCGGTGCAAGATTGCTGATGTGGGCTCTTTCCTTTCTCTTCCCCCATGTCATGATTCAATGGTACTAAATGAGGTGTTCTGCGGTATAGAAAGTGTTGTATATGATCATCGTCAACATGCCCTCAGACGACGACATGAGCCGTGCGGAGAGTATCATGTTAGAGCCTCAGGCTCCAATATGCCCCGTTCCTGATTGGCCCGCACTAGCGAGCCCACACATGCCGGATAGAGGAGATCCACCCTCATCCAGCTAGACAGCTACGAATACAATAGTATCGTCAATGCCTTTCCTTGCCATAGCCTGACTCACATTTCATGGCCACAGAGGTCGCCACCGAACCGTCTGTCCAGCCCGGCGATGCTATGGCTGCAAAGGGATGAGTGGCTCGCCGTGGAGGGAGGCGGGCCGGGGGGAGGGGAGGGGGAGGGTTATCAGACTACTTGTTGACTTCTATATACGCTGAAGGCTGATTGATATGCTTGATTCTCCGACTGACCAATCAAAGCCCGACTTACCGGTCTATTTACGACATACTTCTTATCCATGCCGAATCGTATCCACAAAGGATATGATGGAGAGATGATGGGATGGGGGGACTACGGCTATGCAGCCAGCATCCTACATGCGTTATGCACTTTGTACTCCTTTTGTCTCTTTGAACTTCTTTCGCAACGACCTTCCCTTTTGCGCTTAGTTGACGGCCGCCAGATTGTTTATAAAAAGGCCGTACGAGAGATAGATATCTAGAATCAGAGTTCTTCCTCTATTCACTCTGAATAGTGCCTATGACATCCTTCCGAGCATAGTAATTGACACCTACGGCAAGCCTGCCCTTGAAAAGTCCGCTAACTTGACGACTCAGGTTGGTATAAACCTTCTACCTATCAAAAGTGCTCTGATTTCCAAGCCTTCGGGGAACTGATCTTTTTAAATACCCTTTGATTGTTGGCAATGTCGTAAGAGCGGCTGAAATGTGCAGGCGGGGCAAGGGAGCATCAGGGCTAAGCAAATTTCCTCTTCGGGAAAGATGGGCCACTGTGTCTTGCCGGGTTGGATAGGATGTAGCGCTGCCAGGGGGCATAGTCAGCCTCCAATAGCCTCCAACGGCCTCCAGAAATTGGCTCCGCAAACAAGCTTCGAAATGAAGATGGGTAAGCCGCAAGTGGAGCTTTGACCTGGGCAATCCGACCGTTGACAGTGACGATCAGCAGTGAGCCCCCAGCATCACCTAAAAGAGTCTGATAATGGCAGGATATAACAGAAGAGAATTCTATGATATAATTTATTCAGCAATGGGGATTGTAGAAACCACTGTTGTAGTGCTTTGTATTAACAATTCCAGGGGGGGTGTTAAGGGGCTAGGCCCGGAAATGCTAATGACTAGCTTTGGCACAAAAGATTTCGTTGAAGAGATATCGGACGGATGCCCGATCGAGCGGCTCTAAATACATGTGTGC